TTAGCCTGTGGTTGGAGGCGTTAAAAATCGCCATTCATATTCTCAATAGAGTACCAAGTAAATCGGTGCCCAAAACACCGTATGAGTTATGGACAGGAAGAGTACCCTCACTAAACCACTTACATGTGTGGGGGAGTCCTGCTAAGCCTAAAGTATTTAACCCAAATATTGGGAAGGTAGATCACAAAACAGTAAGTTGCCATTTTATTGACTACCCAGAAAAGTCAAAAGGTTTCTGTTTCTATTGTCCAGACAAACATACAAAGTTTGTGGAAACGAGACACACTGTCTTTCTAGAGGATGAAATGGTGAGGGGGGAGCATGGTAGCTCGAGAAATTGATCTTGAAGAGAAGCGGGTGTATGCACCCACTCCGATGATTCATGAGCTATTTTTCTCACTACCTGCTGTCGCTGCACCAACAGTGCAAGATACTATGGTGCCAGCACTTGTTGTTATTCCGCCTGTGGCAACAATGAATGACGATGAGGAACCTGTTCTTTAGGATCATGTAGAACCTATTGCCACACATGAGGGGGAGCAACAACAACCTCAAACAGAAGATGTGCCAAATATGGAGGCCCCTAGAAGGTCTCAAAGAGTTAGAAAATCAGCTATTCCTGCTGACTATGAAGTATACAACACTGAGGAATTTCAAATAGAGGATGATCCCACCTCATTTGAAGAAGCCATGAGAAGTGATCATTCATCAAAGTGGCTTGAGGCCATGAAAGATGAAATGAAATCTATGAATGCCAATAAAGTTTGGAACTTGAAAATAATTACTAAAGGAGCCAAAATAGTAGGCTGTAAATGGGTCTACAAAACAAAACTTGACTCTCAAGGGAATATAGAGAGATATAAAGCGTGACTTGTGGCAAAAGGCTTTACGCAAAGAGAAGGGATTGATTACAATGAGTCCTTTTCCCCAGTCTTATGTAAGGATTCCTTCAGAATCATAATGGCATTAGTGACACATTACGATTTAGAATTACATCAGATGGATGTAAAGACGACATTTCTCAACGGACTTGGAGAAAAATGTTTACATGGCACAACCGAAAATGTTTTGTCATGGAAGGAAAAGAACGAATAGGATGCCGCCTAAAGAAATCCATTTGTGGATTAAAACAAGCTTCAAGATAGTGGTACTGGAAGTTTGATTAGACAATAAGGAATTTTAGGTTTAAAGAGAATATAGAGAACAATTGTGTCTATACAAAGTTTAAGAATATAAAGTTTATCTTTCTTGTCCTGTATGTGGATGATATCTTACTTGCTAGTAGTGATGTCAGTCTACTACTGGAGACAAAGAAGTTTTTGTCCTCAAAATTGGATATGAAAGATCTTGGTGAAGCTTCGTTCGTTTTAGGGATCGAGATTCACCAAGATAGAAGTAAATGGGTATTAGGACTATCACAAAAGGCATACATAGAAAAGATCTTAAAGAAATTCAATATGCACAAATGTAGTCCCTCACCTGCTCCTATAGTCAAGGGCGACAGATATGGAAATTTTTAATGCCCCAGGAATTAGTATGAGATCGATCAAATGAAAACGGTTCCATATGTTTCAGCTGTCAGAAGCTTGCAATATGATCAAGTATGTACGCGCCCTGACTTGGCATTTGTTACTGGGTTACTTGACAGATTCCAGAGCAATCCTAGAACAGAACACTGGAAATTAGTAAAGAAAGTCTTGCGTTATTTGCAAGGAACGAAAAGCCTCATCATGACATATAGAAGATCATATTCAGTCCATATAGTGGGATATTCAGATTCTGATTATGCGGGAGATGATAGAAAATCCACGTCTGGATATGTGTTTACTCTCGTAGGGGGAGCTATTTCATGGAAAAGCTCAAAGCAAACCATCACTACATCGTCCCCAATGTATGCCAAGTTTGTAGCGTATTATGAGGCAACGGGGCAGGTGAACTGGCTAAAGAAGTTCATACCCGGTTTGAAGGTGGTTGACGACATCTATAGACCACTTAAGTTATACTGCGGTAATAATTCGACAGTACAGTATGCTCACAACAATAAGTCAAGTGGTACTGCCAAGCACATTAACATAAATTATTATGTTGTGAAAGATAAAGTCCGGGATCATGTCATAAGTCTTGAGCATATAAGTACCGAAAAGATGCTCGCGGATCCGCTTATAAAAGGCTTACCACCTAACGTGTTTAGAGAACATGTAGCCGACATGGGTTTAAGGGAAAGTCTATAATTCCTAAATAAAAGAATGCCCAAAGTTAAGTATCTATTCTAGAACAGAGTGGTGCGTTGTAGTTGTTAAATCTATCGGTAATTTACCGTGACGATGAAACATGCTCTATGCGCTAATCTATAATGGGATGAACAAAAGTAAATGATATGAAATTAAAAGATGGTAGGAGATCAAGGGAGAGATTGTTAGATTGATCTCTAATTCCAAACTGAGCCCAACGGCCCAGTTGGGCCTTTGATCCGCGCCCTGATCGGGGGTGCTCTGCCCACTATGGTTGGAGGACCCCTGTCACACTGCGCAACAAATAGAGGTGGGAGGCGGCGTCTGTGAGTACGAGGTTCACCTGAGCCGAGCTTCCGACCAAAATCCCTATTCCGATCTAGAGGGGGCGCAGCCAGTGACGGAAAGCCACCAACCGCGCTGCCTCGCTCCACCGACGTCGACGCCTCTTCCCCGAACGTCGCTGCCCGTGCGCAGACTTCACCGACTCCATGGCGGACGCTAGCGGATCTTCCTCCAAGGGCACAGATGGTCAGCTCTTTCCATCCCTTCCTCTCCCTCTAGATCTAGTAGTTCAAAGTTCTAGGGTGTGTTCATCATGTTTACAGTAAGATGTACCCGCTTGATCTACGACTAAGGTCATGTTCTTGTCAACAATAGTCACACCCCTGGAAGCCACACCATGGCCGCCGTGTCCATCGACCACAACCACCACCGTGTGCTGCTAGTATCCTGCTATGCTCTTGGTTTCCTTGTGTTGCTCTCCACCTGCACTAGTCACGCAGCAGCACCAGCAGCCATACATGTCAACCAGAACCCATCGTTCATCAAGCAACGAAGTACCGCCATAACTTGAAGAAGAAGAAGAAGAAGCTGATGCGTCGTCCGGAGGGTACCGGACATTCATTGTCCTTCTGGAGCGCCCAAGTGGCGCCGGCGAGATGGATGCCCCTGCCCACCGGGCGTGGCATGAATCCTTCTTGCCGTCCAAGCTGACCGAGCTCGGCGAGCCTGTCGACGAAATCCAGTCGGTCTACCGAAGGGTATTGTATGGATTCGTAGTAGCACGGGATAATCTGGATCATCCGTGGAGCAGGTGCGCATCCATAGTTATCTGCAATTGTTTCAAAGAATAAGTCTAGCTAACAGGTCCAATTGTTGAGGTTTTGTCTATTTAACCCCCTCAACTACAGTGAGGCAACCGACGCTGGGCACAAATGTGCGAGCCGCGGGCGGGCACAGTAGCAGCGACTACGGACGACGAGGCGCTGGCCATGCGTGCCATGAGGGCAGGGCAAGTCGTGACTACAGATGGCGACTCGGCGAGGCGACCGTTAGCGAGCGGCGAGCCGGCGACGCTGGGTGCGAGCGCTAACAGAAATCGTGCTGGGCCTGTTGGTTTGTTGCCACTCTGGAATCGTGGGGACGAGGGAGATGATGTATTTTTTTTGGGCCTGGGCCTTGTGTTGTGATGGATGCTAGTGTTTTAGATTTTTGGGTGGACAGTGGATTTTATGTGAATTGTATCATTTTCATCCCCGTCCTCTGATAGGAGAATTCCCTTCAGGGAATTGGAGATCAGGTCTCATTGCGATCTCTAGTCCAAACAATCAAATTTCTTATCCTTTTATTTTACACAGGCTTATGCAATTAAATATATGGTATTTGAAATAAAATCGAATAAATAGTGAGAGACCAATTTTCCCTCACTGACACTGTTATGCACCTTGTAACCATTCAATTTGATATGTGACAATGTTCTTGGTCATCAATTGTTAGATGTCCCTTTAATTAAATAGCTATACAAGTTGCCTCCAGAAAAATGTATTGTTACAAGAAAGTATAACCTTTACTTATTTCTTTCTTCTATATTAGGGGATACTAATAAATAACAGTAATTTTGTAGGGTTCTCTCATCAACATGGCCCCTAAGCGAGGGATCAAATTGAGTGGCACTACTCTAATTGAATACGATGTGAAGATCAAGACTAGTAGAACATGAAAAGGGTTATTTACAGCTGATTGATGGAGTATCAGCCATAGACAGCATGAGTACAGCGAACTGTAATGTATTAGCATGTCGCATCATTTGGTGATTGTGGTGCAATTGACATAAGTGCATCATTGGTGATTTATTTGATTTAATTGAATTAAGTACCGAGAAGTCTAATTAAATCCAACGGTAAGATTAACGTTCTAAAAAAACGGTCGAGGAAGATACATACTCCATCCATACTAAAAAAAATATAAAGTCATTTGAAACGGCGCCACGATCTTCAAAGTATTACTTTAACTCCTTATTTTTATAAAAAACATTTATCAAAAAGTGATATATGTATATTTTTATGAAAATATTTTTTAAAACAAATTTATTTATATGGCTTTCGTATTTCCAAACTCATAAATTTATGATTTATATTCCAAATGTTTGACTCAAACCTGATCCAAAGCGACTTTATTTTTTAGTGCAGAGGGAGTATCCACTAAGTAAAACCTCCATTTTCTTATGATTCAGGCAGCCGAAATCTAGTTTCTGATGAACAAGAAATGGCATAGCCAAAAGTCGAAGCAGAGTGACGGGGTGCTCATGCCAAATCAGCAACTTACCATTCGCATTCTCACAAACATCTCATATAGCATGCTCATGCTCATGCTCCTGGAAGCTTGATCAATGCAGCAGGAAGCAGGACAAAAAAAGAAAAAAGAAATCGAAAACGCAATCCGCCATGACTCGCATAGCCGCACGGCCAGCCAATCTAAACCGAGACCTCACTTGCACTCCACTCCTGCCTCGGCAGCTCGCCGCGGGGTGCTCTTCCGGCGGCTCCCATGATGCCGGAATCCGCTCTGCTTCAGCTTCACGGCCTCGTCCTTCTCCTCGGTCGCCGAGTCGCAGCCGCGCTTCGGCTGCCGCCGCCGCCGCCTCTTCTTCCCTCCTCCGTCGTTCTCCGGCGAGGCGGCCATGGCCACCGGCACGACCGGTTGTTTCGCGTCCTCCAGCATGGGCTCGGCCTTGGCGGCAGCGTCGTCCTCCTCGTCGTCGGTGTCATCATCAGCCTTGTGGTAGTGCTTCTGCGGCCGTCCCCTCCTCTTGTAGGCTGGCATCACGGCCTCCTCCTCTTCGCCGCCGCTGCCGGCATCGGCATCTTCGCTCTTGGTAGCTTGGGACGACGGCGGCCGTTTAGCCTTTCCTCCTCTTGGCCTGCCCATCTTCCCGGAATGGAGAAACTCTCAAACTGCTTTGAACCTGCAGGATGGATAAGAACACATGATTGATGATTCTAAGAACATCTGAAATATGTAGGTACTATTGTAGCCCCGAAGGAAGGTAAGATTCGTTAATAGGAACACGAAAAGGTTATAAGGAAAAAAAGCAGGGAAGAAAAGAAAGAATCTGCAACTAGAAATACTCCTGGTTAATAGAAGGGAGATGACAGATCAAACAACTACAGGAGTACAGGTTCCTAGTATTTCGATATGTCCCTTGAAATGACAATCGGATTTTGGGGAAGGGAGATTTGCAGCGCCATAAATCTGTTCTTGAAGTAATAATGAATAACAAAAGATCAGAAACAGCCACAAAGGAGACTACTGGACCATCCGATAATGGAAGGACAGTGCCCCATATCTGCTAGTAGTATTTCTATCTCCAAGTCCAAGACATGGTAGACCAACACAAGAAGCTCCGGAGCACGAAATAGGTGCTGAAGAAGAGCATAAACAAGAAGGAGAGTAGGTTCTTACCTGCTACAGGCGGCGGAGTATTTCTTGACGGTAAAATAGAGCGGCGAGCGTTGGAGGTTTCGCGCGAGAGCTCCGAGAGCTTATCTGAGCAGAGAAGAACTGAAGAAGGCCGCACAAGAACTGGTTCCACTGTTCTGCTTCTGCGGAGACAGAGAGAGACTGAGGGAGCCAGGGAGGGGATGCTTGCTGCCTTGCTTGGCTTGGCCGCCAGAAATACACTAGCGAGCGAGCCCCTGAGCCGTACGAACACTAACGTGGACTAACGTACCAGGGGGCCACGGACAGGCGTCACAGTAAAAGCCGTTCCACGCACTATTTCCACTCTTAGTACATTACACAGCCCGAGAAGTAATAAACCTGCGAGGGACACGCGCTGCTCCTTGCCGTTCGGCTAATCGGCTCAGCGCTGCTGCACCGCGCACGAATAGTCAAACCAGCCGGGCTCCCATCGACGGACGGTTTTATGTGAAACCGTGTGCGTGCCGCGCGCGAAAACCAGCCCTATTCGGCTATTCCCATGATGAAGGGTCGTCATACGTGGAACGGAAGAAGCAGCGCCCGTGAGCTGGCTCGGAGCCGTGGTGGAACGGAAGGCGCCGCGCGCGCGCGGGGGCTGCGGTCGCGTCCGGCACAAGGCCCCCTCACTTTACCTTCTACCTATCCGCCGGTCTCCAACCGCATCATGCACGCAGCGAAAGTCACGGCTCGTTCGTCGGTGTGATGTTCCTCGGCGAATACGTGCGGGTGCGTGCGTGAGCTCTCTCTCTTTTTCTTCTCATCACACTTTGGTCTTGCAGGCATCAGGACTCGGGAGAGCAAGCCTGGCGCGGCGTCGATTGGGAGACAAGCGCGTACAATAGCGAGCGTGAGCGCGGGCAGGCGGAACGGAGGGGCGCAGCACGGCATCAGCGGCGTTGGTGGTGTCTGCCGCTGCCTGGTGCGCGCTGGGCGACAGCCCCGTGCCAAGGCCCGCAGGCGCGCTCGTGCCCGCCTGCCACGCTCGTGCGCGCCCTCGGCTTTGCCGGGTTCAGACCAACCACCACCACGGCGTGCCCGACTGCCTCCGCCCGTGGATCCATGGATGCGAGGCAGCAACCCGGCGAGCGCGGCCGTCCGTGTTGCGTTCAAACAGGCGAGGGAGGATACGCTGGCCAGACGCGTGCGCACGCTAGTAGGGGCAGTCAAGGCTCCAATCATCCCTTGGTCGCCACGACGCGTTGCCCAGGAAGGGCAAGCCAACTCAGTGGAAGGCTGGAAGCAGAAACGTGCTGCCGCGCGTTGCTGCCAGACCTCTCTTTATCCCCCCCCAACTCAGTGGAAGCAGAAACGTGCTGCCACCCGAGCCCATGCATATTGTGGCGTAGCGGGCATGTGGCTCCTCTTCTGTGTGCACCCAATGACACAATAGCCATCCACTCTCTCCTCCATCCGTCATCTCTTAGAGAGTGTTTGATCCAACTACTAAAATTTAGGAGGTGTGTCGGAAGGATGTTGTATGGATGTTCGGATACTAATAAAAAATAAATTACATAATCCGTCAGTACTCTACGAGACGGATTTTTAAGCCTAATTAATCCATCATTAGCACATGTTTACGGTAGCAAAACCTTGTCAAATCATGGACTAATTAGGCTCAAAAGATTCGTCTCGCAAATTAGTCGCAAACTATGTAATTAGTTTCGTAATTAGTCTATATTTAATACTCCATGCATGTGTCCAAACATCCGATAGGCCAGCGACTAAAATTTAGGAGGGGCAACCAAACACCCCTTACTCACTCTTGTTTTGAGTTTAGAGCCTAGAGCTATAAGATCTTTACTCGTATTATGGTCTTACCACATAAACCCATGCGCGTTGCTCTTGTTTTGAGTTTAGAGCCTAGAGCTGTAAGATCTTTACACGTATTATGGTCTTGCCACATAAACCCATGCGCGTTGTGACTCAAGTGCAGTCGTGTGGCTTGCCTTCTAGCCACCTATTTAGGTTCAGTTAATCTCTTATCGATTTCTAATGCGAGATTAATTCTTTATCGCACTAGCATTTATATGAGCTTTGGAATTTATTTAATTTAAAGTTAGGTCATGTCGGGTTCATAAATCCGGGGTTTCTCACGGACCGGCTTCCAAACAAAGGCTTGGCCCAGCAGACAACGTTGTGAAGGACGCACAAACTCATGGGCCGGCCCAAAAACACATAAAACGACAAGCCAGAAGGACAATCCAATCTCCGACCGAAAGGCCTAACAGCGCTCGCTTCCGACACCGGCCCACCTTCGGACGGCCTCTTCAACCGAAAGGCCTGGCCAAAAGACCACTTCCGACTTCGACTCGCTTCTCCGATCGGGAATGCGCCGAACCCCTTCTTACAGCTCCTCTCCGACTGGCGCGATCAGAGCCGACTGGGACCAACCGACCAGGGACGCCCACTCGGTAAGGACCGGGAAATGAACGGAGAAAGTAAGGCAGGGCACTCAAGTCAAACCACAATAGCAAGGACCATACTCTGTGCACCTGCCGGACAGTACCCTATGACATGACAGAACCTAAGCAGTGTTGTAGGCGCCGACATTTCCCCTACAGTGTTGTAGGCGCCATCAACTCCCATACCAGACAAATACGGTAAGGCTCCCCCCACATGCCTCTGGGTATCAACAATGTTGTGGGCGCCGACATTTACCTTACCAGGCGAAACACAGTAAAACCCCTTACATGCCTCTGGGCATCAACAGTATAGCAGGCACCGATATCTGCTATGCTGGAAGAAGACGACGCAACCTCCCACATGCACCTAACATTAACAGTGTTATGGGCGCCTACCATCATCTTGTACCCGCCGGCGTGGGCAACAAGACTTAGCAGCACATGTACTCTCTCCCTCTCACTTGTAAGGCCATCCCCTTCATCTATAAAAGGGGATGCGCTCTCTCCCAAAAAAAGAGATCGATCGGCTCACTAGGACACAACAACAGAACCACCAGGTTCAAACCACAAGCACACGCTCGTACACTTAGCACATAGCGGAGCTTCCGTCACTCTCGACCACTCAGACCAGAGTCCGACCGAACTTCTTGTACCCCGTCTTTCTTCTTTTTGTTTGTAACCCCACTACAAACTTCGAGCACCTGGGCTCAGGAATAAAGTCACCGACTGGCTCAAACTGGACGTAGGGCACGTTGCCTAAACCAGTATAAACCCTGTGCTGTTGAGTGCTAGGCCACATCTGATCACAACGTACGGCAAAACTACAAATATTTACGTGTTGGTCACTTTCTGCACCGACAGTTGGCGGCGTCTGTGGGGAAGACGATGTACGTTCACGCTTTTTGGTCATCGGATGGCCCACTTTTCCGCCACCTTCGCCATGGCGGGCTCAAGCGATACGACTCGCTTCGGCTCACTGGAGTTTCCCACACTTCCACCTATTGGGATGTGGGTTCCACCCGTCTTTAAGCCATCCCAGGCCTTCCTCTTCGGAAGCCTAGACTTCGTCGCCGACTAGCTCGATGTACTGCACCTCTGCGAGGAGGCACTTGCTTCGGTGCCCGTCGGAGGGGCGCCCTCCCTCGGGTCCGGGACGCAAGACGACTTCAACGACGAGGCGCCTGCGCTTCATTCCGAGCAAACACTCTGCTCAAACCCCCACTGTGAGTAATGTGCATACTATTATTTACTCCCTATTTACTATCTCCCGTCGATTATCCGGAGGGACCGTATTGTCCGCACCGCAAACACCGTATGATTGGTTGCCCTGCGGCCTCGCGGCCCCCACTGACGCGTGCGCTCGGGGGCTCCGAAGGACGCAGGCGTCGCCCCCTCTCACATCCAAATTTGTGGGAATGGCAAGCTATGTTCCCACCACTTTCCATGAACTCCTGGATGATGAGGTTGAGAGCGACGACTCCAGCATCGGCATGTGGCACCTAGCCACTGTCGTCCCGGAAGTGCGCTATGGTAGATGCTCCGAGACAGCCGCCGGTGGTTGCGGAGTCTGTGTAGACTCACACCCCTCTAGACCTACGTGTGGGGGCCCTCGTGCTCGCACAAGGGCACGTCAAGGGGCTACGACAACGGCGACAGAACCAGTCGCCGCCTGCGCCGACGCGCTCGGTGCAACACGTTGCGCCCCATGCGCGAGACCCGGCAAGCGACGCTCGGGGTCGCGCCCGCCAGGTCCAGTGCGACATCATGAATGAGGGGAATGACCCTCATAGTTTGCTTGGGCTAGTCAGAACATCGCCGCTGCGGCAATGCTTCTGCGCGGCGTTCCCGAGCTCGTCGACCCCCAGGAGCGGGCGGTCTACTGGAACCTCCGGGCGCTGGTAGAAGCCGCCACCGTTCAACAGGCCGAAAGCTCCGCATCATGACTCCGACTTGCGCCCTCTCTCCCTACTACGGGAGTGGAGACGCACCAGATGGATCGCTCCATCCGCTCACCGCTACAGCCGCCAAGCACGGCTCGGGAGGCCA